CAGAACCAATCCGCAAAGACCTGTACCTCAATTTTTCATACCAGGACCAAAGCACAGATTAAAAAAACCAAACCAAACCTACCGGATTGGTTTGGACCAGTTTGGTTTGCAGATTTTTCAATTTTCTTGCTCATCCCTATGATGGGAGATGGAAAATGCATTTTTTACTTTATTTTTTAGGAGAAATTTTAGTTCAGTCTATATTTTGAAATATTATTACAAATAAGTGATAAACTTCATAAATATTAATAAGGGAAAATTACGCTTTACGCCCTTAACTATCACTGTTTTTCACTTTACCCCCTCAAGCTAAAAATTGATATGATTTATCCCATTCATCTTTTGAAAGTTTTCAATCTAACCCTTATGTCTCCATTCTGTTAACAAAACAAATGAAAAAATGTGCATTTATTGTGCACAAGTCATATTTATGACCAAAAAACCCTTTAAAGATAAGTCATAAATATGACATGTGCACATTATATGCATTTTTTTTCTGTCTATTTTGTTAACAGAATTGAGATACAACGGTTAGATTGAAAACTTTTAGAAGATGAGGAGAGTACATTATATCAATTTTTAGTTTGATGGGGTAAAGTGAAAAACGATGATAGTTGAAGGGAGTAAAGTGTAATTTCCCTTATTGATAATTAAAAGAGGGCTTCTATTTACGAAAAATTCTATATTTACACAATTAATTACCTCAGTGCACACATTTAATGAAATATTATTGAGTGATTATACTTACGCCACTACTTTACCTCTTTACACCCTCCATATGAGATGGGGTGATTCTGCTTACACCACTATTTACCCTCTTTACACCCTCCATCTCATTACACCACTAAAAAAATTGTAATTCTCATTACACTCCCAATATATTGCCAAAACTAACCCTAAATTAACTGTTTCATCTCTTTACACCACTAATTTTGGTAACACGGTACTAAACAATTTACATTATTTTGGTGTTAGGCTTCAGGAAAAAATAAATCTCTCCAGCATTTTGTTGCTATACATTTACGGAAACACTTTCTTCCAAACAATGATTTTTTAATTTGTGGTGGGCTTGTTCGGTAATACAATGCTAATTAATTTGAATTACTCCAGTGCCATGTTACCAGACAATATTTTTTTTCCCAACTTTATGTTGCCGTCTAATTAGATGATAACAAGAAATTAATTTGGGTCACTTGTGAAGTGCATGTTCAGCGATACATTGTTATACAAATGGGATTACTCTAGTGTCATGTTGCCAAACTACAATAGAGTTGTCTAGGCCCCCTTCGCTGTACATTGAAAGATTTACTTTTTCCTTGAAGCATCCATAAAAAAATTCATAATCAAACTTGCATCCATAAAATCATACATAAAAAGTATCCATAAAATTATTTATAAAAACATCAAGTGTACGAATATCCATAAAGTATCCATAAAATCTGTCATTGTTTACATCCATCAATCAAATATGTTATCACAATTCGTCTTAGTAATTTGTAAGTACTTTTCCCCCCTTAATAGAAATAGAGATCCACACTTTTTAGAACTTGTCAACCTCAATCGTTCCCCCTTGATCTTCCTATTGTCTCTATGGTAACCACTTCTTTTATAAGCAAGTGTAAGTCTTGATTTTCTGCCATTGCCTCCCATATCTGATGTCTTTATAACAATGACAAATCTAGTCTACTTCCCAACGTCAGAAGCCCATTTAATTAATGCTTCATGACTACTAAAAATCTAAAGGTAACAAATATATTTATATGTCAAATTATTAATAAAACTCAATACAAATTAAAAATAAGAAAAAATCGTATTCATAAAAAAAATTAACAAACCTCATATGTAATGAATTCATAACTAGAGTCCACTAATATTGCAGTACTTGCGTTGTTGCAATGAGTATAAGTATAATCCTTCCAGGCAAAAAAATAAAAAAAAAATAAAAAAATAAAACTGAAAATACATAGTAATGAGAAGCCGAACAAATTAAAAAAATCCATTTTGTGGTTACCAGAAATGTATCTTTTATTCAGTAGTTGGTTACCAGACTTATATTTTTTGTTTGGCAATGTGATGCCAGACTGTTTTATTTTGTTCGATTTCAAACCACCGAACGAAAGTCGAACACCAGTCTAGAAAAATGAAACAAAAACCTACCAAATAAATAAATAAAACTCACCATTTCACTTTTTTGATGGTTATTCACCACCGTTGCGTTCTTTAATGATCAAAATACTACGATTCTCACTTTTTGAAAAGAGATGTGTAACAGAAAAGAAAAATTAAGAAAGGAGAAAGAAGAGTAGGGATTGAAGACCAAGGGGTGTAAGGAGATAACAAAATATATTTAATTTTAGTGTTTTGTCCGTAAAGGTATTTTTACACATGGATAAAATTGAGAAGAAAAAAAAAAAACTCATATGGAAAGTGTAAAGAGGTAAAGTAGTGGTATAAGTAGAATCACCCTACGAGATGTTCTTTTTTTTTTTTCCTTCTAATTTTATCTATGTATGAAATTACATTTAAGGACAAAACACTAAAATTAAATATATTTTGTTATCACTTTACACGCTTTAGTCTTAAATCCTTACTCCTCTTCTTCCTTTCTCAATTTTTTATCTCTCTTACACACCTCTTTTCAAAAAATAAGAATCATAGTGTTTTGATCATAAAAGAAAGCAATGGATGAAGAAACGGTAGTGAAGAACCATCAAAAAAGTGAAATGGAGAATTTTTTTAATTGTTTGGTAAGTTTTTGTTTCATTTTTCTGTACTATTTTTCGACTTTTGTTCAGTGTTTCAAAATCAAACAAAATAAAATAGTCTGGCATCACATTGTCGAACAAAGAATATATGTCTGGTAACCAATTGCTGAATAAAAGATACATTTTCGGTAACCCAAGGTCAAATTTTTTTTATTTGTTTGGGTATTCATTACCATGTATTTCTAGTTTCATTTTTTTTCTTGAAAGGATTATGCTTCTACTCATTACAACAATGCAAGTACTGCATTATTAGTGGACTCCAATCTTGAATTCATTACAGACGTGATTTGTTAATTTTTTTTTTTATGATTACGATTTTTTTTACGAACGACAACATATTGTTGGTGAAAAAAAAGTTTGTCTAGTAACATGGCACTAGATTAATTCAAATTTAGTAGCATTCTATTACCGAATAAGCCCAACACAAATTTAAAAATCATTGTTTGGAAGAAAGTGGGTCTATAAATGTATAGGAGCAAAACGCTGGAGAAATTTATTTTTTTCGACAACGTAACACTGGAGAAATGTAAATTGCTTAGCACTGTGTAACAGAATAGGCACTTCACTATAGGCTCCACACACTATCTTCTCTACATTTTTCTCTTTTTCTTTTTCCCCTTTCTGTGTCTTTCTTTGTTCCCTTATTTTCCCTCCAAAACTATTGGTATAAAGAGATGAAGGGTTTTGAAGAATTTTACTTTAGGGTTAGTTTTGGTAATATAATAGGTGTAATGAGAATCACATTTTTTTAGTGGTGTAATGAAATGGAGGGTGCAAAGAGGTAAAGTAATGGTGTAAGTAGAATCACTCAATATTATTTTAATGACAATTATATCCTAAATTAAAATGACCGTAATGGACATCTACCAACACCTACAATATTATATGAAAATATTCTCTATACACATCTTTTAAAATGAAAAAAATCTTAGTGTAGACTTTTTGACTAAAAAAAGATATACCCTAATTTTTTTTCTTCATTGTTGTCACTTTGCTTGTTACACACTCTATACTCCGCTATTGCTTGCAAAGCAATACTCTCATAACAATTCTCATGTTGCTTTAATTTGTACATTTATACTCTATTATTTATATTGTTTCTTATTAGTTCCATAATTTTTGCTTGATTTTATTATGGAAGAGTTGCAAAACAATGGAAGTTCAAACTCAAACAAAAATACGTCTAGTAACAGCAAAATCAATGATGAACAAGTCAGTTTTTTCATGCACAATTTTTTTTTCATGGTTTTCACTCAGACAACCTGTGCTAAATTATTTCAATATATTCGGATATCAACTGTTGAATTATTTAATTTATTTCAACACACTAAGATCGAAAATAAGAGATTATTTCGATAATTCAATCCTAATTTTTGATTAATTTTTCGATATATAAAAATTAAATTTATTAATTTATTTCGGCTATCAAGTGCCGAATTATATTTTTTTATTTGGCTCTGTACTACCGACTTAAATTTTTTTTCCCCTTAGTCAGATTCCATGCATTGAACAAACTGAGGTCTAGTCTGATATTATGGTGGATTGTACTAGTCATTTTATAGCAAAACAGGTGGCCTTTAACATGAATGTTGTAAGTTAATAATTTTTATTAGTTAATTTGTTTAGTTTGTTCTTATGAAAGTTGTGTGAGATATACAAGTTTTCGACGATAAGGATGATTTGCTTACTTGGGTACATGATATTGGAAGGACCAATGGCTTTGTTATTATTATTAGGACGTTAGACTATGGTGGCAATCGCAAGAGACCAATAATTTATCTTGCTTGTGAGCAGAGTGGTAAGTATAGATCGCATAACAAGTTGAAAGACGGCTCGAAAGACTTGTTGAGACAAACTGGTATGAAGAAATGCGAATGTCCATTTGATTTGAGGGCATACAAGTTGAAAACAAACGATAAATGGACATTGAATGTAGTTTGTGGACTGCATAATCATCCAGCTGCAGAGCATTTGCAAAGACATTCATATGCAGGGAGATTGTCAACTAATGAAAAGTCATTTAGTAGATATCTCAAAGAGCCTGGTAAGATCGAAAAAGATACTCATGACACTCAAACAGAGGGATGCCCTTAATATAAGAACAATGAAGACAATTTACAATGTACGACATCGATGTAGGGTTCTACAGAAAGCTGGTAGATCCCAATGCAACAACTGCTAGGTGAATTAGTGAAACATAAGTACATTGAGTGTCATCGATGTGAGGAAGACTATATGACTGTGACGGACTTGTTTTGGGCACATCCAGTGAGCTTGGATTTGCTTCGTACATTCCCTTGTGTGTTGATTATGGGTTACACATATATGACGAATAGATATCGGCTTCCTCTTTTTGAAATTGTGGGAATGACATTAACTCAAATGATATTCTCTGTGGCTTTCGCATACTTGCAAATTGAGCGGGTTGATAACTATGCATGGGCGTTACAAACATTGCATGATCTTATGGACAACAGTATTTTACCTGAAGTCATTGTCATAGACAAAGAGCTTGCCTTGATGAATGCAATTGACAACACCTTTCTGAATGCCCGACATTTGTTATGTCGTTGGCATATTAATCAAAATGTATTGACGAAATGCAAGAAAATGTGTGAGACAAAACAAAAATGGAAAAAGTTTAACATTTCATGGAACTATTTAGTTTTGTCATCGACTAAAGAGGAGTACAATGATCACCTTGCTATACTGCATAAGCATTTTAGTAACTATTGTGAGGTAGTCAAGTATGTTAATGTGAGTTGGTTGAATCCATATAAAGACAAAAAATTTGTGGTACATACAGACATTTGTATGCATTTTGGCAATGTCACAACCAATCAATAATATTGTTTTTTCATTTTCTTGTAAGTCATATTATTGTTTCTAATTATTATATTTGACTATTTTTTGTTTACATCCATATGAACAGGGTTGATAATGCTCATGCTAGATTGAAGAGGCAACTAGGTTCAAGTCAAACAACATTTGAGATATCATTTGAAAAAATACATTGTCTACTTGAGTTACAGTACTTTCAAGTAAAAGCATCATTCGAGAAGAGTTTGACTGTTGTACAACATCAATTCAAACCTTTTCAATTTAGAGAGCTTTAGGGTTATGTGTCTATTTGTGCATTGGAGTATGTGTGGCAGAGAGTAAGAGAGCAAATTCAGCTGGAATTGATGTTGCAGCATATGGGTGTGTTCTTAGGCGCATGCATGGTTTACCTTGTGCTCACGAGATTACAGATTACATGAGACAAGTTCATCCTATTCCACTCGGTAGTATACATGTACATTGGACGTGACTTAATATATGTGTGCACAATTCAATCATTGACAAATTGGTATTGACTTGTATCCTAGAACTTGAGATGATTTTGAAGTGGTTCAATGAGTCTAATATTGCCACACAATTGGATATGTTGAAGAAGTTGAGGGAAATTGCAAACCCAGCGAGCACTTTCCTTATTGAGCTTGATGTGAAGCTTAATTCACGTCAAGGACATAAGAAAGTTGATATATCTTGTCGTTATGACCCGTGTGCATTTGAGTTGGTTGACAATGACCAAGATAGCCAGAGCACATTAGTTTCCAGTCAATCAAAGAAAATAATAGCTTTGAAAGTGCATGAGAAGAAGCGGAATGTGAAGACAAAGACATATCAGACTAGAACAAGTTTACCGAGTGCATATGCTGGTGACTTCCCGCCTATGTTAAAACCATTCATAAAGTTGATGAAGGATGTAGATGGTGATGGAAATTGTGGTTTTAGAGCTATTACGGGTTTACTTGGTCTTGGAGAGAATGACTGGGTGCAAGTCAGGCGTGATCTGCTACATAAATTGAATGGTCACAGAGATGAATACGTTGTACTATACGGGTCACATGAGAGGGTTAAGGAGCTGACACACATCCTGCCATATTTTGAAGATAACCCAGTCTTTGATCGTTGGATGACTATGCCTGACATGGGGCATCTGATTGCGTCATTTTATAATGTAGTCTTGTACCACTTGTCATTGTAACCGTGTCTCACTTTCTTACCTTTGAGATCATCACCAGTAGCCCCAGCTAATCGTCACGAGATTGCCATTGGATTTGTCAATGGAAATCATTTTGTGCAGGTATAACGTACGAAACTTACCTACCATTGTTGTTTAATAATTGTGTATTTGTAAATTTTATGTATTTGGTACATCTATGTAATTTTTTATTATTATATTAATTTGGTTGAATTCTTGTTGGATGTTTGTGTAGGTATTTTTAGAGGCCGGTCATCCAGTTCCTCCCATTGTTGTGCTTTGATGAGTTCACCATCACCCTTGTACATCAAAATGGGAGAATGCATATGTTAGTCGCATTCAGAAATTCAAAGACAACATAGGACCTAATGTAGCTACTCGAGAGACATTTGATGTAATTGACATGGGTTGATGTATTAGAGAGTAGTTATAGGATATTTAAAAGATTTAAGACATAAGTTTTTATAATTTATACTACAACGGAATTATGAAATGGATATCATTTTGCCATTGGATTTTGTAATGGCCATTTTTTGATGGAATGTCCTATGAGTTATAGTTGTGTTATCTATGGAATGGATATCATATTATTTACGTTGTCTGAACACAAAACACAATGAAAATAATATTAACAAAGTACAACTATTGTTAAAGACTAATAATATTAACCAACAATTATCGAAAAAGAGAAAATAATATTTACTGGTAGTTCAATCCATCCACATCATCACAAAATACATGTCTTGTTCTACATAATGCAAAGAGTAATAATAATATTGAAGAGTACCACTAATAAATACCTATTACTAAATCCACCAAAGTATCTAAAAAGTACATAATCCAAAGATAATAATAATATTCGTCTTCTTGTACATCCACCAACACCATCACAAAATACCTAATGTAACATTATGAACTACTCTTAACTACATGATCGGTGAGTGTAATGTGCTCCAAAACGATGTGCAGTAGAAGAGCTGGGTGCAGACTGACCCTAAGTGGATGTGCTGGGCGCAGCTTCACCAATGTGTTGATCTTGCAAAAGCTGTTCAATTGCATTAATTGCATAGTAAAGCCTATCAGGATGTTGAACACTGTCCTCATAGCCTGCCTCAACGAAAGGATAAGTAATCTGATATATTTGTAACATACGTTGCATTACGAGAATAAGTACAACATTATATACATTGTCTGAACAATTTACATACATAATTTGTAATGTAAATGAAAAAGATGATACATGTGCGTCTTGGCTAGGATACTGATAATGATGAATATTTGGGTCCACCTGAGAACGACGTGTTGGGTTTTGAACATACATATAGGTAATAGTTTGGTACCAATCTATATAACTAGGAGCACAATCCCAAGGCTACTGTATTGGTGTACTCCTCCTCCGCTCTGATAACATATGGTTGTCTCATGCCTCCTAAATGATGTCCAAGTATGCATACATAACGTTATAACGTGGAGTTGTGGCTCCTTGAGAAGCACGTATAGGGCCAAGCGGTGGATTAGGGATTGTCTGCACTCTGCCAAACTGTCGTAAAACTCTATCAGGGTGATATGGTTCAACTACTTCCAAACACTTTGGGCAACCGTGGTAGAACGTAACTAGGTGACACGGATGGAGATCTCTGTAACTCTGATACAGGTCCCAAATAACCTACAAACAATAACTACAAGATATAACAACTGTAAAATTTGCATGAAATATAGTTTTAATTTTGAAGGACTTCTTAACTTATATCGTATACACCCAACCTATCAAGCTCCTCTCGGAAAGCTTGCAACTTTGTCTCTTCACCAGACTCTCTCCGAGAAGTCCAACGGTAAACATGTGGCATGGCTTGAGTGTAATTCATATTCAGGTGTGATCGGAATCCACGAAAGTGCTCATAAATCCATCCTTCAAGGAGTGTCATGTAACTGGCTATTTGTTTCACATTGGACGTGCTAGTATACCCCAACTATCTATATAAGTATGCTAATGCAGGAACACCCTAAGCATATGAAGGTACGATCGTCAAATTGGACAACAAACTCAAATAAACAACGGGGGCCCTAGTACCAGCCTTGTCACTGAAAACTGTACAGCCCAACAGAAATAGCAAATATGCTTTACTTGTACTTTCAATTCTTTCCATTGAATCATTGTCTGTAACACTATGAAAGTGTGACATTTTTTTTCAGGTGACCGCTTGAGCGGTGAAAATGTCGCTCGAGCGAAGGATGAGAACATCCAGTAATTTTGCAAGTCAGGGTGTCGCTTGAGCGAACTAATGGTCGTTCGAGTGAAAATGAAGGACTCCTAGTATCTCATTTTGCAAACAAAAATACGAGGAAGCATCGTTCACCGCTCGAGCGATGAAAAGACCGCTCGAGCAGTCTGCGCGAATTCAGCAAATTAAAAAAGACATTTCTAGATCATTCTTTCCATTTTTCTTTTCTCTCTCCCTCATTCTTTTCCTAAGTCTGAAAAACCCTAGGTTTCTCACTCTAAATACTTTTCATTCCTCTAAGACCTAGTGTAAATCTCTTGCAAGGTGTGAAATATGCGCGAAGATCATCCTGTCTACCAATTGGATTTTTGTTTTGGTGAAGAACTCTCCAAGAAGCTTGGTTTATTTGCTCATAGCCTGAGGCAGGGTTACTTTTAACTTAGTATCTCTTTGTTTTGAAGATGTTTCTATGGTATTGTTGTGACTTAAGATTTAGTTTGATAAGTGGGTGGAGTAAACTCTTATTTAATGAAAAAGGGACATATTACTCAACTTTTATTAAAATTTCTCCAAATCTTTCCATGAAATGTGTATATTAATGTTAAGAGAATACACACATATGAAGAAGGAGAGGAAACCCCAAATTGATAATACCCTAATTCCTAATTTGGGTAGTGAATGGTATTTGGAATGAAATTTCCTTAAACTTTTTGGAATTTTGTGAATACTCAGGAGATGGAATATATGGATACTGTTGTGGTGTTGAAATTGTGACTTGGGGACTTGAATGTTATATTTTTCTTTTATCTTGTATAATGTTAAACCTTTGTTTACTTGGAACAAAGTTTAGTAAAGTGGTAAAGTGAACATGAGTCCGGGTTAAGAGTTGGTTTTGGAAAATGTGGTGTTGTGTTGGTACTCGCACGGGGAGTCAAGGTGCTTCATTGCCCAATCTGCGCTTATCGCCAAACGAATGTAAGAAAAAGGTTTTTGGGTGTCCACTAGTTCTGCCGTATTGTAGTCTGCAAAAGTAGAAAAACATATGATTTTGGGTGCCCACGTCCTGCCGTATAATAGTCGGGGAATGTGGGGATAGTGTTAAATGAAAGTAACTTGTGTATGTGGTTTGGATTATTGGAACAGACTCATAGTTCATTTCTTTTTCTAATGTGGAGAACAGTTTTGTGTAGGGCAGAAGTGTACCTTAGTTTTCTTTTTTTATTTATCTATTTATTACCTAATTGGTTGTTTATCAACATCAATTATTTTATGTTGTTTTACTTAATGGTGCCATGTGCTTGTTCAAATAATTAGATACTTGGTCAAATGTATTCCTACTAGGCATATAGCTCAACCCTAATTGATTTTTCAAGAACTGGTGACACACCACCGCAATGACTTGAAGCTTGCACTTTTATTTTGCTGGGAAGCTGGGTCCAAGTAATTTAATTGTAGAAGTGTAGAATGTTGTGCCAAGCATTGTAAATTTGTTTTATTGTATTGGACAGAAGCTTGAGAACTTTTGTTAGCCTTAATGGCGAATTTCTTTTGTATAGTCTTCTAACTGATTGAACTTAACCAAGGATATGGATTGAGATTAATGTGTAAACATGGAATTGTAAATTATGAACTTTAGTTCAATGAGAAAGAGGACTTTATTGTATTATGCTTTGCATGGTTGTGGTATACTCGTGTAAGAAATTCAGGGGCATTATAGAAAGTGTGCCCTTAACCACTCAAGCCTCATTGAATTGCCTCAAGCACTAGACATCTCATGTCTGACCTCTTGCTCATCAATTCCCAATGTATTAACTACAAATTCAATGGCTCGCCTTTTTGACAACCTACGCACGCTAATAGATTTTCCTACAATGGGAAGCCCTAGGATAGTGGTGACATTGTCCAATGTGATAGTTATCTCTCCAATAGTCAAATGGAATGTGTTTGTCTTCGATTGCCATCTCTCAACAAAATTGTTAAACTGGACACAACAATTTTGTTAAAAAAACAGTACGTGCAACGAGCTAAGTGTGCAAGTCCTGACAACTCCATAATGCTTACAAATTTAGGATTGTTGCCTTGTCTCCACCACGGCCACGAACGAATCTTAGACGAGTGATTATGACACTTTAAGGGCCCTTTTCATTAGCACCATTCCAAATAGCTGCGGCAACATGACTTTTAAAACTTTTAAAGATTGATGGATCAGTTGGCCCTTCCGAAAATGGCTGAGTAAGGATATCTTCATCAACAATGTCAGCATCATCACCAGTAGGGTCATCATCCATAGCAATATCATCCATAACTGGTGCATCGTGTATAGGATCATCATTCATGGTAATGTGTGCATCATCATCATACACTCGAGCAAGTCCACGTTTGTAACGCCCCGAAAACAATTCATCGAAATGAAATGCAATAACCAACATCCACTAAACAATAATGGCAAATCTCCAACCTTTACATCATTAATCAACAGGATTTATACAAAAGTTTCACATGCGAATTATACATTTAATGATATAGAAATACATGAATCTATAGCATGTAGAGCATCATGTTCCAAAAATAATAAAATGCCCTCATGGGCTTACAATTTCCAAGGCTTAAGCCCGGTTACACAAAAATGGCCTCTCGGGCCCATACATGAATAGCCCTTGGCTAGCAATTAAATCATAACAAAATAGAGCTATTACTCTTCACAACATATCCACGTCCTCAACTTGGCAGGATCACCATGTCTTTTTCTGCACCAAAATCCCATAGGGATGAGCATAAATC